GTGGCTGTGTTTAAGAGTACAAATTTGGGCTCTGGGGTCATATTCTGGTTGGCCTCTAGCCAAGTACCAAGTGATGTTGTCTTTCTGAGTCTCAGTTTTTCCACCTGTAAACGTGGGATAAAGTAGTGCTTTACGGGTTATTGTCAAGGCTAAAGGTGATGTCAGCTGTGTTAGTGTGGCGCTTGGGATACATGACAGGTGGAGTTATAATTACTCCGAATAAGGTTAGGAGAAGGAACACCCAGGACAGAGGACTGTCAGATCACATCACTCCTGAGGAAAGCCAACCATGGCTCCCTGTGGCATGTTGATTAATGGAGGCTCCTTCCCTGGACGCATTTGGCCTCTTTTCCAGCACATTCCATCCCTCACTGTGTGCTGCCTGGCTGTCCCCTGAACATGGCAAACTGTTTTGCTGCCTTGGGGGCTTGCGCATTGGCTCTTTCCTTTGCTTGGAAAGTTTTTTTTTTTTTTTTTTTAGGGGCATATTGTCAGCTTTTATTTTCTCTTTTCCTTCCTTCCTTGTTTTTTTTTAATTTTAAAATTGTGGGGTACAGAAAAGTTGCCAGATCTTGTGAGTCTGGCTCTTTTAAGGGACGTATATGGTATAAACCATTCAAATCAAGATATGAAGTCTTTTGGCTTCCCTTGCAGCAACCTTCCTTGAGCAAGCGCCTCCCACCCCCACTGTACCCTTGAGTACATCACTGTTTTATTCTCTTCACAGTACTTGTTGTGATCTGCAGTTACCTTGAGTACCACCTGTTAGCATGTTTTCTACCCTCATCCTGTCCCACCTCCCGATGAAAGCTCCATGAGAGAGTGGCCTTGTCTTGTTTACTTCTATATAAACTGGCACCTTGAACAGTGCCAGACACACAGGGGGGCACTCAATAAATACCTATCAAATGAATGACTGATACTGAAGATGCAAGAGGAGGGGTGATGGTTAATGGAGAGAAGTCCAGGGTGGGAGAAGGGCTCAAAATAAAGCGCAGGTGGGAGAGTCAGCCTTGGTGAGGAGGACCACTTACTTCTGAGTCAGGCGGGAAGAGGAGGGATGAGGTGAGGTTAGAGAGATCCTGATGTGCAGCATAGGACCTCTTTGATAGTTTCACAAAGTAAAAGGTGTGATCACCTGCTGAGAGCTAAAGGGCAGCAGAAGAGGGGTTTGGGCCTGGAGGCCAACGGAGAAGAGTTTTGGAATAACTGCACTCACTGCCATTTATTGAGGCACCAGTCACTGTGCCAAGCCGTTTAAATGTATTAACTCATTTCATCCTCATGATATGACAAGGAAAGTTACTATTACCACTTTTAAGATATGGATACGCCTTAAACATACAGTTTTTTTTGAGTTGGGGGTCTCACTTTGTTGCCCAGGTTGGAGTACAGTGGTACAATTTTGAGTTGGGGTCTCGCTCTGTTGCCCAGACTGGAGTACAGTGCTATAATCACAGGTCACTGAAGCCTCAAACTCCTGAGCTCAGGCGATCCTTCCGCCTCAGCCTCCCAAGTAGCTGGGGCTACAAGTATGTGCCACCATGCCTGGCTAGTTTTTTTTGTAGAGACATATTGCTATGTTGCCCAGGCTGGTCTTGAACTCCTGAGCTAAGACAATCCTCCAGACTCAGCCTCCCAAAATGCTGGAATTACCAGCATGAACCAATGTACACAGCCTAATATATACAATTTTTATTTGTCAATTATATTTCAGTGAAGTTGGGGAGAAAAGATGTAGAAACCGAGGCACAGAGCAGATAACTTTTGTTCAAGGACACACATCTAGGAAGTGGCAGAGCTGGGATTTGACCATAGGCAGTCTGGCTATTAGAGCCTACATGAAGAACCACTATAATTTCCTGCCTCCCCAGTCCCTATAAAACAGGTATATGAAGAGTCAGCGAGAGATGAAGAGAATTGTGGAACCGTGCATGGTAGACCCAGGGGCAGCCAGCCAGCATGCTGTGCCAGGAGGCCCAGGAATGGGAACAGGGAAAGTAAATGGCACAGGATGGCTTACTTAGGGTTAGGCACAGCAAAGACGGGGGTTGAGGCAAAGCTGGTGGGGGGGGGGGAAGACAGGGAGAGGGAAGGAGGGGGCATTGATTGTTTTCTGGGTAGGGAAAACAGCATGCGCAAAGGCCCTGAGGTGGAAAACAGCTCAGCAAACTGAGAGGAGTAAAAGGACAGTGCCAGAGTATAGGGCAGGAGTGGGGGAGGGTTATTGGTAGGAAGGGGTCAGATCCTTCAGAGTAGTATTCCTCTAAATGTGGTCTCAGCAACCCTGCATCAAGCATCAAAATGCTCTTGGGTACTTACTTAGAATGCAGACTCCTGGGGCCCATCTCAGAACTGCCAAATCAGATTTTCTGTGAGGTAGGGCCTAGGCACCTGCTTTTTAACAAGGTCTCAAGGTGATTTTTCTGCACACTTAGATCTGAGAGCCACTGATGGAGGGCCTGGTGGACCATGGGAAAGGTTAGGTTTTATTGCAAATGTACTGGAAAGTCACGGGAAAGTTATGCACAGGGAGGGACTGCTGAGACTGATATAATTAAGTCATGCTGCTCGCTGTGTGGAGAAAGGGTTGGAGCACAGCAAGGTTAAAACAAGAAGACCAGGTAGGAGGATATTACAAACCCCCAGAAAGGGATGATGGTGGCCTGGTTCAGAAAAGTGGGCAGTGAAGGAGATGAGAAGTAGATGAATACGGGGCACATGGTGGAGGTGGCTGGTAGGAAATAGAGAACTCAAGGCTGACTCCTAGATGCTTACCAGGCAACTGGGTAGATGGTGCTGACATTCTCTGAGCTGAGGGAAGATTGGCAGAGGATCTGGGCTGTAAAAGTAAAAGAACTAGAAATAAAAGAATTCCATTTTGGACATGTAAATCTTGACATATCTCTGAGATATCACATCTCTGAGGGGAGACGTCAGCAACTAACCGGTATATCTGGTCTGATGGAAACACAGAAGACAGGGATGGGCCAGAGCTGTAACACTGGAGTCTGGGGCATTATAGATGGTATTTAAAGCCATGGAAATTGATGATATGCCATGACAGGGATGAATGGACAAGCCGACTAGAATATTTGAAAAAATGCCACTATGCCATGCTGTGTCACTAACCTAAGTGACCTTAGGTCAGTCACTGTCTCCTCTGAGACTTTCCCCACCTGAACACTGATATTGGATTAAATCATCACTAAGGTTCTCTCCCTAACATTTTGTGATTATTCTTTTGCAGCATGTGGCTTTAGATTATTAGGCTACACCAGAGCCAGTTTTAAAACTTGCCCTGCAATCAGAAAGGCCATAACAGGTCTCCTGTTGAGGCCCAGCAGCCAGAGATGCTACTTTCTCTCTCACCTCTGGAAAGGACGGCCACCAGGCCTGCTATACTACATTGCCCGCCGCTGTGTAGAAACTTCCAGGTGTCACTCTCCATCTGCTTTGGGGGGGGCACTCTTAAAAACAAAACAAAACAAAAACAAAAAACACTTTCTTCTGCCAAGGCTTTGGGTGGGGCTAGAAAAACCATTCACGATATGAGTCAGCACATTCATCAGGGTCAAGCTCATAGTTGGAGGGAACTAGAAGAGGGCCTTGGTTGAGAAGAAACCTCCAGCTGAGGTCTCTTCAGCCTCAAAGGGAATGGAATCAGGATCCACAAATTCTTAATGGAGATTGGCAGGGAAATAATGAAATCAAGCTCAAATCACAGGTTTTCTCCCAAAGTGTTAGAGAGTTCAGATTAGAACAAAAAAAAGTACCTAATTCATGGACTTCATCACTCCAAGAGGTGATAAAAGTTCAAAACTCGTTTTTAAAAGTTGCAAAATGGATTATGTAAAAATATGCACCTTGGGGGGTGCATGTCTAAACTACTGAGGCTATGTCAGAAAGGACAACTGGCTTCTCCTAAAATGTATACGTTAGGGCTTGTCAGATTTCTGGGGCCGGAGGGATCACAGATATGACCTTCTGTGATACTTACGTGCATTAGGAATCAACATTCCATTATGTAAATGTACATTTTCTTTATCCAGTCCATTTTCGATGGGCATAAGGGTTGGTTCCATGTTTTTGCTATTGTGAATAGTGTGACAATAAACATGCGTGTGCAGGTATCTTTTTTGTAGAATGATTTGTGTTTCTTCGGGTATATTCCCAGAAAGGAAACTGCTGGATCTTATGGAAAGTTCATTTCAAGTTCCTTCAGATATCGCCACACTATTTTTCATAGAGGTTGGTCTAGTTTGCTCTCCTACCAACAGTGTAGAAGTGTCCCCTTTTCTCCACAACTGTGCCAGCATCCATTGTTTTTTGATTAATGATGGCCACCTTTACTGGAGTAAGGTTGTATCTCAGTGTAAAGAAGGACAAAATCATGGACTTCTTGGCACATTGGATGGAATTGGAGACAATCATTCTTAGTGATCTATCACAGAAACAAAGAACCAAATACCACATGTTCTCATTCATAACTGGGACCTAAACATTAATCACAATAGCACAAGGGAGGGATCGTGGGACACTGCCGGGGAGGGAGGAAGACGGGGAATATAACAACACAAAGGGTACCTGGTCCTAAACCAGCAGAAGTGAGGGCCAGTTGGAGGCCCACACTTCACCTGCACATACGTTACTTATGTACCTAATCCTGACTTGTACCCCACATCTTTATAATAAAATAAAGTTTAAAAAAATCAGCAGCCTTTCTTCTAATTAAGTCATTTTGTTGCCTGAATCCTTAGGGTTAAAATAAGAGTACTTGGCTCACCTCTGAGAGTATGGGATTCCTTTATTAGCCTCTGAAAATGCATGAATTCTTTTTCATGTCTGAGGGCAAATATACTGAGAATTCTTATAAATGATATTTCCCTGTAAGACAGGCAATGATAGTATAGGCACAGCTGACGAGGACTGAAGTCAAATAGAATCCAGTGACATAAGCCCTTCCTTCTTAGTTCTTCCTCACCAAGATCACACTTTGCTTTTTCACACAACATATTTATTCAGAAAAAAATTTGCAATAAATTATAATTTAAAAAAAAGATGACACAAAATACAGAATCCCACTAGCAGCTCTGCTTAGTGATCAAGACATTTTTGGGATATATAACAAACAATTACAGAACAAGAAAACAGTGAAAGGGAGACGAATGCAATGTCATCACATGGATTTAAACCATTTCTTCCTGAAAATAACAGGTGCAGAGTCCTTCTCTACCAGTTGGATCCGAAATCCTGACTTCAGAGGAGCTATGAACTAGTACCTTAGAGGACTTAGGAATTATGGGTTGGGATGTGGAACAGGCACAACAGGGAAGCAGATTTCGTAAGTCTGGTCTGTGTCTTGTCTCCCCTACTTAGAGATTGTCTAAAATTCTCAACCCTGCTCCAGGACAAGCTGAAAAAAAGGCTGAGGCAGTAAACCGACTTAGTGCTTTGACCTGATGGAGAAAGAGACAGGACACCACACATGTGCTGCACAGAGCCTCCACTAACCATATCCTTGATCATCCAAAGATTCCAGGTTGGCAATATATTAGAAAATGGGCCCGGGAAAGGTATTTCCCTGTATTATCTGTTGTCTGCCTCTTTTTGTGATCATTTTCTGAACAAGTAGAGATGACAAAACTGTTCTGCTCTCAGTCTTTCATTAACTAAGTTTAACACCCAGTCCCTGACCTATGAGATCTTTAGCTATTTGGCACTAATAATTAACTCCTGTTTCTTTAACTCCCAATCAGGAAAGGGTTTAGCCAATATATTATAAGATACATACCTTTTTTTTTTTTTTTTTTTTTGCTAAATAACTCAACTTTCAAGAGATGGGGGAATTAGAGAGCCATTCAGTGGTGGTACCTTGGCTGCACTAGAAGAGTCAATGTCCAAGATCATATACAGAGCCTGTACATTATGCTCTTTGCTTTTAATGTTAACAGGCAAGAATGAGTCATCTCTGGGTGGTTTTAACTAAAGAAAACCAGGAGGAAGCCAACTGCATCAGGCAGTTTTGCAGTCAGTGGCTGGTGGCTTATTTGTCAACCAACGCAGATTAATTTTTTTAAAAAAGGCTCTCCCATGGAGCCTGGAATAAATGAAAAGTTCAGAGAGTCATCTTGGGTGGAAGAGGTAAGGTGCATGGTTGGTCCCACTAGCCTGTCTCTTTTACACAGCACTGGATATAGCAATTGGGAGCCAAGGGGCATCTCTAAACCCTTTACCTGCAGGAGCTGGTTGTACAGCCCAGAGTCGGCCCTGCTGAGAGAAGATGTGACATCTTGGTATTTCAGAAGACCAGAGAAGGGGTTCTAAGGGTCATCCTCAATACCCTTGCTGTGTGACGAAGCAATAGCTCTAGATAAGCCTGCTTGAGGTGCAGACTCTCTTTTTTACTGTGGTGCCAGTGTTGCTCTGGAGGTGGATTTCTAAGTGGGAGATGGGTCTCACAGACACCCACAATTAGGCCTCATGTAAAATTTGAATCATACAAGGAATGGGATAGTGGGAAGCAGGACCTGTTAAATATGAATACTCACTCCTGAAATACTTGAAGAGCTTCCATTTGGATCACGATCTCTCACATCAATGGGATGTCATCTCTAATAGTCTCTAAAAGTTATGCTACTAAATGTGATCTCAGATAAGAGAATATGGTTCCACCCAGTGCGGATCCACAAAAAGGCCAATGTTACAGAGACATAAAGATGCCACTGTAGTAGAAATGCACAAATGCATGTAACAACCACATGGAGACAGTGAACTCACTGTTGAGGACACCCAAAGAGTCACTAGCCTCACCCAGACTCCATTCAAAGTGATAGAATGAGGGGAGTGGGGTGCAAAGGAGTGATATGGGGGAGGGTGCGGATCAAAAGTGCATTATATGAAGGACAACAGATGAGTCTGAGCTACAGCAAGTAGTGTTTGTAGGCCTAGAATGGGAACATTTCAGAATCTAGGCCTAGGGTACAAAGGACGATCATGACAATTGGGTAGGAGGGCAATACACACATCCCTACGTAAAGGAGTGTAAATACAGATCTCTCTGCCTTATAAAGAGAAAACACAAAAACACCAAAATATGGTAACTTTGGCTTGGCAATATAAGTCTAAAAGTATTTTGCTGTGTAGGATATGGTAAAGGAGGGATTAGGAAACTCTTCCTTTTGCACTATAAACAGAACTTGAAATTCTGCAATAGATCCTTCCTGTGGCATGACTTTTTAAATCGTTCTGAAATACTTAGAGTCCAAGATCTTCTACCTCTACAGTCTCGGAGAGTAGTAAGAGGAAAAGCCTTAGTCTTCATCGCTTCCAAGCAGAAAGCCCAGAAGGAAGTGAATAGCACGTTGGCGGTCACTTGGAGTCTGTCTTGCCATAAGGTTGGGTGGAGGCCTTAGGAGAAGACTAGTGAAGAGAGTAGCTAGAAGGCAAGAGAAAGACAAGAGGAAAACTTTGTCAGATATAACCTAAGCAAAACTTTAGGGCTGGTGGGGTTGGGGTTCCTGGGGATGAGGACAGTAGGAGGGAAGTGACTGCCATGTGCCTGGATATTCAGTAAGGTATACACTGTATATACACAATGCACACAGATTGTCTTTGACAAACACCCCTGTGCAGCCATTCTCATGAAGCACTCTTACCAATCATGTTGGCGCTGACATTGTTGTATTCAGAGAATTTTAAGAGTTCTCGAAGGAATGCCATCAAGTAACGGAAAACATTTCTGTGGCATCTTGGAAGCTGAGAGATTACCTGTTTTTTAAAAAAGGAGTGGGCAGTGAGGAAAACAGGTAGGAGATGGGAGTAAGAAGAACTTATAGCAGTCATAATAGCAGTTTATAATCCAAGCCTTCAGGATCCCATTCATCTGTCACTATTATTTACTCATGACCAACACAATACCTGCCAAATTATCACTTTGAAGTAAGAATGGTCATACTGCTTTGTCCTTGTCCACTTAATGACTAGGTCATGTGATCATCATAATTCACACATATACCCTGCCTCATAAGCAGGTTGGTGTTAATTTCTTCTTTTCCCAGTTCTCCAGACAGGCAGCCATGGCACCTGCCAAACTGAATGGTTTCCTTTACAATGTCACTTAGCACGGATGAGGACACCCTCCCAATACTCACTAGTCCAACAAGTAGTCTCCACTATCATGCATCAAAATCATTTCAGCATTAAAAACATATACTGAGAAGAAAAAAAGAAGACACGCTCCCAGGTGTCACCCACCCTTCCTGGTAATGTCAGCCAGAATTCAATGTACAACCAGCTTCACTAATTTTACCCCAGAATAGAGGTGTCCGCCTCACTATATTTTCTGTAAACAGAAATAGGCCAACTGGGGAAAGTGGCAAATACAATAGAAAATAATATCCTAAAATTCAAGAGTCTCCGCTCTCAATGCTGGTGTCTTGCCATGAATAACAGATCCAGATCCATCCTGCCACATGAGATGGCTGCCTATATGACTCTGTAAAACTGTTGATTTCTCTGTGGGGGGGATCCTGTGCCACATACATCCTCAGACCAGTACAACTCACCTGTCGGCAGATCCGAGGATCATGAGCAGAGTCAAGACATCGCTGATACAGCTCATAACAGATGACTGGCTCTGGCAGGGCTTCCAGGAAAATGAGCAGTGCTTCAGCCACAGAATGATTACTGCCAGCTGAATCAACTTAAGTCAAGGGACAGGAGCTCCATGAGAAAGTCTCCCACAGGGACTGTTTCCTTCCTCTTATCCAGGGTACCCTGATCCTAACTGGGGTTTGATACTTTACTGGCCCAAGTACCCAGCAGCTAAATTGTTACAGAATTGGTCAGAGACTCTTAGAAGCTTTGGCTCAACTTCAGAGTAAGGGAAATATAGCCTGCAGAATGACAATTCACATTGAACCAGTCTTAAAAGCTAGCTGCCCATGGTTCCCATCCTTCTCCCTGCCCTAGTGACAGAACGTGTGGTGGCAGGAGTGATCATCAGAAGGAGAACAGCACCAGTGCTGTGGCTCCTACTTTCCATGCTTGTTAAGTCATTGTTACCTACCCCTTGCTTCCTTTTGTAAGAGCTGGATATAGAGGTCAAAAGTTCCTGAAAGGAATTGAGAAGCAACTGGAGAGTCAGTGATAATCTTACAATAAAAGACAATTACACAGAAAATATGGAATCACGAAAATCAAATGTAGGTGCACAGAAAGTCTCTTCTCTTAAGAAACTTGGTTGAAAAGGATACGGATTGTCTCAGGAATGCTGGTATCTAGACAATCGATGATTTGCTGTAACTCTTCCTGCATTCCAGGGGTTTGGAACAGGTCCTCCTACCAAAGAAGTCAGAATGAAGGGAACAGACATGATAATCACCCCTAAGGTTCTGAAGATCACCCAGCGATTGGAAGAGCAGCAGGAAGCAAAAGGGAAGGGTAGTATGTGTATTATTGATTAGGAATGGAGGTTTGAAGATAGCACTTTTTCCTATATCCTCTCTATAATGTGTGAAATGTTATTTCAAATAAAAAAAATTATCTTCAAAGGTTTTAGCCTATACCTGATAAGGCAGGGGAGTAGATGGCTAGATCAGGAAACCAGGTGTTCCACTACCAGCTCCCCTGACAAAAAGTAGAAGGCAGAGTCCAACGAGTATAACCACAGTCAAATGCTGATGCTACTGAGTTCTGGGGAAGGAATAAGTGGCATGCTGAACCTTGCTTTCAGGTTATATTACTCATCAGTAGGTAAGAGAACATCACCTTTCAATATGGTCCCAAGAAAGTTCCAGCCCTGGCTCTACCACTATACTTAGGCTGTGGTCTTAGGTAAATCACTTAGCTTGCAAGTTTCAACTGTCACATCTGTGCATAGGGACACTTCCACCTGCCCAGGCACTGTGTGGAAGTAGCTTGGGAAAGTTAAACGCATTATGCTGATGTGAGGTATTATAATTTCCCACAGGATTCGCATACCTTTCGAAGTTGCAGGGTAGGCTTACTCTCACTTACCTGGTGACAGGCGTGTCTGAATAAGTGATCTACTAGAAGCCAGATCTCCTTGGGTACCTGAAGTGGTCTCTCACTGGCACCCTCATCCAAGGGGACCATCTGCAGAAGGGATTTCTCCTAATAGATGAAAAGGAACGGGCATCAAAGAAGTCTCAGAATAAAGGCTTCTGTGTGTAACTTAATCTCCTTCAAATTTTGGTCATGCAGGTACAATGCGATCTTCATCTCATTAAGATTTTTCATTTCTTGGCTGGGTGTGGTGGCTCCTGCCTATAATCCCAGCACTTTGGGAGGCTGAGGCGAGAGTATTACTCGAGCCTAGGGATTTGAGACCAGCCCGGTAACATAGTGAGACATCATTCTACAAAACATAAAGAAAAATAAGCCAGGCATGGCGAGGCACTCCTGTAGTCCCAGACTCTTGGGAGGCTGAGGTGTAAGGATCACCTGAGCTCAGGAGGATGAGGCTGAGGTAAGCCATGATCATGCCACTGCACTCCACCCTGGGTGGCAGTGAGACTCCAACTCAAAGGAAAAAAAACATTTTTCATTTTTTTCTCACTAGGGATGCCAGGTCAGAAGGCACTAGATACTGATTCCCACAGTTAAAGGATCTCCTTTCCTAATGCTGCACTTAATTGTTCTGCATTTCATTTGGGTTTATGATGCTAATCATGTGGATGCATTGTGTTTAAATTCTTTCAAATGCTGAGAACCAGTACTGTAGTTATGTAGTCACAGCAGAGCTCACACAACACCACCAGTGACTTGTGAACCATTAAACTACAATTGCCAATACAGCATTTTGAGAGACCACACTCTACACTTAGATTTTTGTTTACTTTTAACTTACTCTTCCTTCACGTCTTACCACAAATACTACTGTTTTCACTGTTGAGTTAAATGAGGTTCTTCAGCCCTCAGAAATGAAAGACAACTCTCTGTAACATCAGACCCACATATGTGAATACTTCAAGCTGCACATAATTTCTAATCTCTAGGTACTGAACTCATGAGCCTTAAGATCCAAAACTAGTGAACTGAACACAGCAAACCAAGAGCCAGAAATACCATGAAAAGTCCAGGGCCTGAGTCTAGAAGTTACTGTTTATATTACTAGTCCAGCAAAGATTCCTAAAGGCTTTTACTCCTTTCACCTAGCTTTCTACTATCCAGCAGAAATCTTTTACTCCTTTCACCTACCTGTCTACTATCTGTTAGATTCTTCCAAAAGAATGTAAGAGAAAAATCCCGAAATGACATAAATTAGGTCAGTAACTAAAATTGAATTTGAAATGGCTACGAAATAAACTCAGTTATCTTATATATATGTAGTCAAGTATAAATTAAACGAAGAAGATATTTGAAGTAGTAAAGGCATCGAAGGCAGCCTTCAGAAAAATCCCAGTGGAGAAAACTAGGACCAATTTTTTGCATCCTCCTCCCTCCCTGATCTTTATCCAGCTTAAGTTCATATATTCCGTATCTTCAACTTTAGGAAATTCTGTATTTTTATTTTTTTCTTTTTCTTATTTTTTTAAAGGAAATTCTTACTCAAGATTGTACAACCTGCAAATCCCACCCACAATCTTTAGCCATGTAACTTTAAGGGAAAGAAAATGAGCACTTTGCTACTTTCACAGAGACCACAGGCACCACGGCCATGCTGAGATCTCTTCTTAACATTGTGTTCTTTAATAAGTACTGATGACCTTTTAAAGCCACTGCGCCTTCTAAGGGAATAAGGAAGAGAAGGGAGCATGATCGTCAGTTCCTGTTTAAAGTCTTTATTTTTTTTCTTTTTAAGATTTCGTGTGCTTCCTTTCTTTCCATGGGATTCCATCACTTGATATTCATGTTTCCTACAGTTGCCAGAACTTCTATCAGTGGCTCATCCACTGACTTCATTCCAGTTGCAAGTATTAAATCCAAGCATCCACATGATACCTGGGCCAAAACACGTCCATCATACACTCTGCTAACTCTCTGGACCAAAAACAACACATGTACTGATTCTTTAGCAGATGCCTCCAAACTTACCATATATAAATTATTCAGCATTGATTCATGTACTTTTTAAAAAATCTGACATCCAACTGGAGCTTTTCCTGTACTAAGGCATTAAGACAACACAAGGCAAGCTAAAAAGACAGAACATGGACTGCTCTTAACAGGAATGGGCTGGGAAGCGAGCTGTCTCAAATCTTAGTCATCTAAAAAGGTTAATAAAATGTCAGTAGGTTATATACATCATCCACTATCAATTTCCAATCTCATGTGTGATAATATGAATGCCATACTCACGTCTCCGAAGTCTAGAGAAAGATCATGCACAAGAAATAATACTTTCAAAAATCTCACAAATTATCCTGATCTCTGATTTGCAAAGGGAAACCAAGGCACTTTTTCTTCTTTCAACAAGACACATTCAGTGCCTAAAAAGCTCACACCTTCTAACCTTATTGCTGATGGCTAAAGCACAAAAGCAGGATACCATCCCCATCCTCAAAATGAATTAAACTTGGCCAGGCGCGGTGGCTCATGCCTATAATTCCAGCACTTTGAGAGGCCAAGGAAAGAGGCTCACTTGAGGCCAGGAATTCAAGACCAGCCTGGGCAACACAGCAAGACTTGTCTCTACCAAAAAAAAATTATATATATTAGCCAGGCATAATGGCACGGGCCTGTAGTCCTAGCTACTCAGGAGGCTAAGGTGGGAGGATCACTTCAGCCCAGGAGTTGGAGGATGCGGTGAGCTGTGATCATGCCACTGTACTCCAGCCTGGGAGAGACAGTGATAGACCCTGTCTCTAAAAAAATATAATGCATTAAACTCCACCAAGTGGGAGGTCCTTTTAGATACTGTATGAAAGTGCTTTAAAAATATTTATCAGCCTCATGCTTCTCTATTTGATAGTCCTATGTGAAGCCAGGTGTTCTCCTGGTTGAAGATAAAGAGACAGTGAGGCACTGCAGAAGGAGTACTTTGCTGGGCATTCACAGGAAACCTGGATTCTAGTGTCCTCCACCCCTCACCATTGTCAAGAACAGTCTTTGTTCAAACCTTTCTGGGTCTTGTCTATTAGAATGGAGAAACACCCTTACCCTGTCTGAAGACAGAGGGCTAGACAAGATGATTCCCTTAGATCTCATTCAGGTCCACGATCCTATTCTATGCTCTATTTCTTGACCGTATCTGTGTATTCTTTTAGTAATTAATCGCTATTATCACTAACCCCAAAACATTCTTAATGCAACAGATGTCTACTTCTTTTGGTATTATTGTCATTGGAAATAGAGAACAGTTAACTGGTACCCTTCTCCAGCTCATGAATTTTCAGATGCATACAGCTTTGTAGTTACTTCTCGTTCCAAAAATACAAATTTGGAACCTTGAGTACTATTGCTTTTATGTACTGAGCCTCAGTTACTTGACTGGGGCAGTAAAAATCTTTTCTGTACTTTGAATACACTAAAGAGAACCTGCAGGACTTTAGGGGATTCTCACCGAGTCAGAGGTCTCTGATATGGGAACACCTAGGGACAAATCCCAGGGACCATGGTTAAGTTAATCAGGCACAGAAAAACTCTCATAGCCACCAATAGATCGCATTACCTTTTCTAGGAAGCTGTCTTCTTCCTGAGAGCAGAGCAGGAAAAGAAAGTCATTGACAGATAGAAAATGATTAGAATTAATTTACAGAATTGAAACAGATCAGTATTAGAACTTGCTAGCTTATCAGATACATATGCTTTAAATAGCTTTGAATTCTTCAAATAATAAATTATGATTGTTGAAAATGGGACACATTCTTCACATGCAAAGTTCTCTCATGCATTATATTTTTGTGCAGTTTACTGGAAATATCACTCAAGAAACGTGGTTCTAGACTTCTGAGCCCTTTGGCAGCTGCCAGCTGATCCAGGCATGTGCCCACTGATGTCTTTCCCTGTTTGTCTGCTGCTGGGAGGCAGGCACCCTGCGGTTGCACTGGGCAGTTTCTCACCTCATCCCATGTGCCTCCTCAATGAAAGAGCATGGCATGGGCCCAGCAGTGGCCATTCGGAAGGAGACAGTCAGCTACTCTCCTTTCCACTGCCATTCTCCTTGCCTCAGCTAGCCTCCTAAGCAGCATCTCAGACTCCTCCGCATCTCCCCATACCCACTCCCCTCCTCAAAGATCCCCAGAGTGCCCAGATTTGAAGGTCCCTCTGAACTAGAAATGAATTTCATTTCAGACCTGTCCCCTACTTTCATTATCCCTATTTCTGTATTCCTATTGGGTATAAGAGAAAAGAGATAAGCAGGGGAGAGGGAAGAGGTACCTTTTTAATATTCCTGTCTTTTATGCTATTATTACAATCCAATAATAACAGCAATGATAACTGCCATCACCACTTAGTGGAGGTCTGCCATGAACCATGCAAAGTACTTATATACAATGTCATTTAATCTGTATGCATGTATAAGTAGATATTATTCCCATTTTACAGATGAAGAAACTGAGGCTCTGAGAGGTTAAATTATTTGCCCAAAGCCATACTTAGGGTAGTAGGTGGCAGAATTAGGATTGAAACCCAGGTCTGACCAATTCCACAGTCATTATCAATATGTTCTCTTAGACAACTCAAAAAGAACAATGGGATTGCTTTCTTGACAGAGACATGGAGGGAAACTGTGAGAATGTATTCTCCCTAACAGACTAAACATGGTGAGAAACTCCACTAACAAGGAAGTATGGTTAACAGAAAGAGTATAGGCATTGGTGTTAGACAGTCCTGGGTACACATCTTCCTTCTGCTTTTTTTTTTGTTGTTGTTGTTGGAGTCTCACTCTGTTGCCCAAACTGGAATGCAGCGGCACGCTCCCGGCCACCGCAGCCTCAACCTGCTGGGGCTCCAGTGATCCTTCCGCCTCAGCCTTCCAAGTAGCCGGAACTACAGGCACACACTACCACACCCGGCTAATTTTTGATTTATTGTAGAGACAAGGTCTCGCCAAGTTGCCTAAGTAGGTCTCGAACTCGCAGGCTCAGGCAATTCACTCGCCTCAGCCTCCCAAAGTATGAGATTACAGGTTGAGCCAACGAGCCCGGCCCCTTCTTCTTATTATTAATTTTGTATAGGCCTCACATAAGTTACCACACTTTGTAGAGCTTCCGTTTCTTCATCTCTAAAACAGGGAAATAATATTTACCTCAGAGGATAAAGAAGCAGCCTGAAACCAAGAGGTGGTAGGCAGTATGCCAGCAGAAGATCTGGGTCTCTAAAGTTCCTCACATTTCCCCAGCACCTCCCAGCTGAATGCCTCCCAGTCCCACAATGGGTCACTAAGCATTCATGTATAAATCACATGTCTCAGGTCTGACAGGTACAAAGAGAAATCCCAATCTTACCATCAGTGATGCATGGGGGCTGTAAGTAGGGTAGGGAAGGGGAAGTATGTGTTCTCTTGCATTCCAAGTGGTAATGCTGAGTGCATATTCCCCAAACTATGGTGATTAGGTTTTTAGTACTGTTAGATACTTTATGAATTAAATTAAACATGCTTTTGTCGGTTTACCCAGACTCTTAACTATTACATGAAAAAGTAATCAGAGTAATAGTGTTTTATAAGACATGATATTTGCAGTATTATAATTACAATACTTTTTTTTTTTTTTTTTTTAGTAGGAGTCTCACTCTTGTCACCCAGGCTGGAGTGCAGTGGCACACTCACGCCACTGTAGCCTCGACCTGCTGGGCTTAGGCAATCCTTCTGCCTCAGCTTTCCAAGTAGCTGTAACTACAGACTCACGCCATCACGCCCGGCTAGTTTTTGTGATTTATTGTAGAGATGAGGTCTTACCAAGTTGCTCAGGTTGGTCTCGAACCCCCAGCTTAGGTAATCCTCTTGACTTGGCCTCCCAACGTGCTGGGATTACAGGTTAAGCCACCACATCCAGCCTATAATACTTTTTAATGTGAAACTAATTCTGAGCGCCAAACATCTAATTTAATATAATTTTGGACTACAGTCACTAATAAAACTTAGGAATATTTGTTAACAAATAAAGGATCTGCCTGCCACATTTTATATTTTTCTTCCATGAATATATGACACATGTTATGATGAGAAAAACTAGAAAGAGATTTTGTATATTAGCCTGTCCAGCTAGGCTCTCGAGAATGTTTTCTTTGAGCAGTGCCCACCTACCAGTCCAGGGCACTGTGTTAAAATGCCTTTGCGGAGAGGGCAATGAGAAATGAGGGTATGTGAAGAAGAAAGACGTGGCCTGTCCCTGACCCTGGTGTGCAACTGAGTTGGGGTGAGAAGTTCCACAATTTATGGCCTGGTATTGTTATAATTCATGATATCTTCTCAAGAAACGGTGACTAGCCCTTAAAAAATTCACAGGATTTTTAAAGAGCAGAAGTGGGGAACGAATATTACAAGTGGAAGAGGCAGAAATAAAGGCACAGAGGCAGAAAAGCACAAGGTGAAATTAGAAAGAAGTTAGTCATTTAGTTTGTGGGCTGCATGCAGAATGTTGAGAAAAACAGTGGGAAAAGGTCTGAAAAGGTATGGTGAGGTCAGACTTTGAAAGACAGGTAAAGGAATTTGGATTATATTCAGCAGGTATGAGGAAGCCACTGACCACCTTTAAGCAAGGAAGTAACAGGTCCCAAAGCAGTAGTATAGAAAGATCAACCTGACAGTCTTGAGTAGAAAAAATTGAAGGGGAGAGAGAAAGCAGGAAAGGGGAGGAGGACAGGAAAAAGGAGGAGGAGGAGGAGAGAAGGAGAGAGGGAAAGAAGGAGTGGGAGAGAGAGGAGCAAGGGAGGGAGGGGGAGGCAGAGAGAGAGATGAGAAGGAAATAATTTTTTTTAAAAAATGAATGAATACAAGAGAAAACTCTGAAAGAAGAATCAAAATGACTTTGAATACTGGTAGAAGGGATGGAGATTTACACTGAAAGTTTACTTTTCTGGGTACAGACACAAAGAAAGTAGATGTAAATTATCTTTCATTTGATCCTAGTCTCAACTTTGAAAACAGAGATATCACTTGGCTTTTATTAGTAAAAAGCCTACGGCAGTCCTAAGGTTATTACTGTCAATCACTTAGGTCAACTGATTTTAAAGGGCAGAGATGCCCACTCTTTGCAAAAGGCTGTACATTGATCACATTATAAAAGAGACCCTAGTTCAGGATTTCCCTTGTGGGACAACAGTGGCACATAGCAAATGCAATGCAAATCGTTCTTTACCCCAACATTCACTCTTAGAAACTAATGTTCCCAATAGTAAATGCAGCTAAAATAATATGAAAGGGTCATTTAGAGGTGGAAGGGTCAAACTTTTTTTTAAAAGCAGAAAACTGAATGGAAATTAAAGTTCTAAAAAGAATTAAGTTCATATGAAATAGAGAAAAAAATCCATACTCTTAACAGGATAAGAAATGGGTGGTTAGATAAGGAAGACAAAGTAAACACATAGTGAAAAAAATCACTGGGGAGGAATTAATCAACAAGTTACTCCTGTTTCAAATTTTTGATATTGTTGTCCCAAAAGACATATTCCCAAGCAAACATAGTTTCTCTGACAATCCTTCAATTTTTTTCATCTCTGTATTTACAACCAAAACTCTTCACAATCTGGCGAGTTCAAGCCTGGTTTCCTTCCCATTAGTCCATTCTACAAGTAGCACCAGGATGCTCCTCCAAATACATCAATTTATAACCTCATGCTGATCATCAAAGCCTTCTGATGATTCTAGATGCCTTCTGGCTCAAGCATAAGCTCATATGTTGACTTCAAGACTCTCTATCACCTGTCCCTATCCTCCCTAAGCAGCTTCACGCATTGTTATCCTTAGTCTTCATTTTTTCCAGGGAAATTTTGCAATTTTTCATACATGGTCTTTTCATTTGCATCTTCTGTCCTTTATTCAAGATGCTATTTATGCCTTGAAGAGCCTGCTCACCCAATATATTAATACATTTCTTAAGTACTTGGAATTGACTGAAAATATTTCAGTGACTAACCCCAAATCGCTTTCCTAGTTTACTTTTCATTTTTTTAGCCACTTCAGGACAATACACTGACATTCTAGAGTCTTCTTCCCTGTGACATCACCAGCTACTTTATTCTTATGTGCAGAACTTATTTCTAAGTCATGTCAGCATCAAACATTCATTAAAACCAAAGTAGGTTGAATCTGAGACGGATTTTTATAGGGATTAGCTGGTCAATCAATAAGCTTTTATAGCATATAATGGCTTGAATGAACAGCACAGGAAAGGAATCTATTGTTAATACTAATTGCAACCCTATAATAATCATTTTAAGTGAGTATTTAATAAGTTAGTATTTCCAAAATACTAACTTACCAAACACACCAGATATTAGCCAGTAGAAGTTGTTATTGTTCAGATTATCTCTAACCAAACTCCCTATTAACCATGATTTAAGATTTAGACATAGTTCATGTAAGTAAATTTTCATCACCATTACATTATAGGAACACGCATAAACTCCATAATACTTTGTTATCCAGTGTGCAGTGAATAAATATTGATGACTATTTGCAACTTAGTATACTAGTTAATAAAATAGAAAAAGCTATCCTAATTCTGGAAAAGAATAGAGATTATTATAACCAGTAGATTCTCATCTGATTCCCATTTGTGCTAATTCCAACTATTCTAGGAGTGGCAAAGTCACTATTATGGAGAAGGGCAGGAAGAATGAAAAGGAATTATGTATCATTGCATTCTGCATTTGGTGGGAAGACAGTGTAAAGAGAATATTTCTGAAACAGAACATGGAGAGACAACACATACACTGAACTCATTTCTGGTTTCACCAAAAATTTAGAGCAAATAATACAATAGAAGACAGGTACGATGTGAAATATTCATCTTGGGTCTTGGAGAAAACATAAACAAACATTAGCTCTAAAGAATCATTTCGGAAGGTCAAAATCAAGTTAAAACAGAGTGGAAAGGTATCAAAGATGGGGTACTAATTATTTTAAATTTCTTGTTTCCCACTCACACTAGTACAGGTTAAGTATCCCTAACTTACAAATCTAAAATGCTCCCAAATCCAATTTTTTTTGAGTGCCAACATGACTCAGATCAAAGGAAATGCTCAATGGAGCATTTCAGATTTCAGGATTAGAGATGCTGAACTGGTAAGTATATAATTTAAGCATTCCAAAATCTGAAAAAGTCCAAAATCCAAAACACATTTGGTCCCAAGTATTTTGAATAAGGGATACTTAACCTGTATAGGCAATTTCCTGATCAACAAGATAAAAGACTTTAACAATACCAAAATGCAACAGATGGTGAAAAGAATCAGAACCTTAAATCCTACAAAATAAATGCCTTAAAAGAATATAAGATGATCCCACATATACAGTTTAATAAGAACTTGGTAATTTTGTAATTAAAAATGACCAGAGTTCTACTGTTTTAACCCTGAATCACTTATGCACAAAAAGGAGGAAAAGGGCTTCCTACAGAGCCATTAATTCCTCTAATGATTTTGGCTACTTTCTATTAATGAGCAAATGTGGTAGAATTACTGTTAATAAAATTACATAAAATAAAAACTTTAACATATTTTGCATAAAATAAAAGCTTTTTATGCTAGCTGAGTCTTCTTTCAGCCAATCCCAGAATTAATATGAGAAAATTATGGCAAGACCAACTCTGATCAAATATAAAGCTAGGTTCCAGTTTATAGGAAATAAGGGAGAAGGAGAGTGTATAAAGGGTTAAGCTAAAGAAAAACATCAAGAAGAAATAATCAGACAAACTTAGGAAACGGTGGACCATTGACTGGAAAACTACTGGACTCTTAAAAAGTCAGTATTATTAAAGGAAAAATGTGGGGAACTGTACCACTCTGAAAGAGACTTCAGAGACCTCACCAAATGTACTACATGAACCCAGATTGGATTTTGGTTTTTAAAAAGCCATAAAAGAAATTCGTGGGACAAGTGGAGAAATCTGAATATAGACTAGATGTTAAATATTACTGTGAGTTACTGCTAGCTTTCTAAGGAATAATGGTATTGTACTCATATAGAAGTTTGTCCTTTTTCAGATGCAGGCTGAAGTGTTTAGTGGTAAAGTGACATGATTTTACCACTTAATCTCAAATAGCACAGCAAAAAATTGTGTGTACATATGTACGAAAGGCATGTGGGGGTGCACTGTACTGTTCTTTCCATTTTTCTGCACATTTGACATTTTTCATAATAAAAAGCTGGAACAAAGAAAGCTGAGAATTAGTTTGGGATGAGGAGAAGGGACAGGAAATAAAGGAGAAACAATTTCATCATTCAGAATGTATTCTAAAAGGTGAAATACTAAATTTGAAAGACAGAAATATGGTGATAGAAGAAAAAACAATTATCATGAGAAATTGCAGAATGGCAGGATATGAATTTTTGAAACAGAGGTAATACACTCAGTCATGAGGGCTTTAGGGAAACAAGTATAATTCCAAGAAAGAATGCCAGGGCCAGACTCAAGTGTTTTAATCTGCTATCTGAGTCACAGCTAAAACAATTCCATGGCAACCGAACAGATAACACTCAGACAAGCCTGCAGCCTACCCGCTGGTCTAGCGCTCCCTGCTAGAAGTTATAATCAATTGCGCTGGTTAGGCCAAAAAGATCCATGGAAATACTAATGGTAAGGATAACATATGGCTGTCACTGCACCTCATTTTCTTTGGTAAAAGACCAAGAATTTACTTCTGTAGACCAAAGAGATCTGTACACAAATCCAACAATATTTTCATTTAGAAGAAAAATTCTTAATACGATGAGTTAGTTACTAAATCAATTTATGCTACTGAAGATAATAAGAACTTCCCTCATAAGAACATTGATATTTATTATAGCATGGCTTCGGGGAGGGGTGGGAAAAATCATCCTCTTTTCCTTTCTTAAGTGACTCACATTAAATAAGTATCAAATTATAATCATCTGGGATGCTGATAAAATACAGATTCCTAGGCCCCACACCCTGAGATTCTGATTCTGTTGCCAGAGGTGAAGGGGGGAGGAACCTGTACTTGTCATAAGCACCCCCAGGGACTCTAATGCAGATACTCCAAGGTTCCATTATAGGTCTGTGCTTCCATAAGCAGTGAAGTTTTACTTTAATTAGATATAATGTAGAGTTAGTGAGGAACACTGAACTGAAAGTCAGAAAATCTGGGTGACAGATTTGTTACTAACTTATGGCATTTGATTTTGGGCAAGTCAGTGTCTCTGTGCCTCAGTTTTCTCATACGCACAATGAGGATAATTCTGCCTGCTCCACTTACTATACCTATACAAAATTTATACAAAAGTGACTTGAGAGTATGAAGAGCTTAACAAATAAGCATTATTTCTTTGAGAAGGGAGTCTTTAATCTTATTTGGTGAATTTAGTATTATCTATTATACTTCTGACAAGAGCCAACCACAGATTAGTCTCTCCTCTTTCTTCTTAGACTTAATTTAATCAAAGTAGTGCTAGAGTAAAGTGACATTCTTCTTTATCATTTGACAGTCCCTCTGCCCCCAAGAGGGAAAGCACAGAGATAATGAGGACATCCATCACTTAATGTCGTGAAAATTATATGTAAAGGTTTATGTCTTAGATATTACTTACCAAGTCTATGAGTTTGGTAACAGGAACTTCTCGAATTGGTCTTTTCATTCGGCACAAAGCCTCTAAGGATGTACCAAAACAACTTGGGAGGTAATTTCCACTGATGGTCAAGAAGTAATCTTTGCCTCGATCCAGGTGAAGGACAAGAATATCTTCGATCTTATCTTCCCCAGAGTTCAGGATGGTCACAGAGTCTTTACTGACATACACATCAAGAGAAATGTCCACTGTCTCATCTGAAATGTAAGAGATAATACATGGTAGAAGAAAAATTTCCAGTAGGAAAGCCAAAAGGACATGAGAACTAACAGAACAAATGTCCTCAAAAAAAAAAAATTTATTAAGCAATGAAGGGCAAGAGATAGGACACACAAAAGTGGTATCACCAATACAATGACAGTGAAGGTAAGAGACACGTGGTTAGAAAACAGGAAGTTAAACCAAGGGGATGGGAGTCATGAGGAGAAGGTACATCGCCAGCAGAAACAATGGTAAAGGGAAAACTCACTTGGCTCCAAGTAGCCCTCAAAAGGTTCAGCCCGAAGCCATGGCTTGCAGTATTGGCTGTCATTAAGTTTGGGGATGAAAGAAAAATGGCAGGGAACCTGTCCATTGTTGCTGATCTGGAACTTCTCCTTTTGTAGTTGCCGAAACTTCACATTTTCAAACACAAACTGGGGAATAACAGACAGACACAAACATGCATCACTAGTAGGGGAAGTCAGTCAGTTGGATTATTCCATAGAGGATATGAGGAATAAGGTAATTACTAACCAGGTGGGCAACTGCCATACGCATTCATCAACTGAGCCAACTTCACACCATCCACTTTCATACATTACTATACTCACACCAGCAGAGGAGGAGGTAGGTGGCTCTTGCTACTCTTTCTAGGCTACTCTGATTGTTCCTGGGATCTTAAGAGGGTAACCCAAACTTGGTCCAGGACATTCATCCTGTAATCGAGTCCCAGTTTTTGAGATATGAATGAACTACCAACTCTGAAATATTAATTAAGAGCAGCTAACAACTGAGGGCTTACTATGTGCCAGGTGCTGTTTTGAGAACTTTGCCTACTTTAACTCATGTAATCCTTGCAACCACCCCTTAATCCAGAAATGGAAACCAGCTCTGAGGGATAAAACACTTGCCTGAAGTTATAGATAAAGTAAATGTCAGTGCTGGGACTGGAATGGTGGCAGCTTGACCCTAGCACATTTGGTCTTAGACATTTTGTCGCGTTGCTTTTTCTAAGTAATATGGTTTCCTCTGTGCTAACCAAGATAGGCAGGAGACGGAGAAGCTGTGTCTTTTTGCTCACCTCTCTCCTGCTGAGTTCTAGGGAAGGAAGGAAGTCGTTTTCCATTCTGTCCATGATGCGTACGATATCCTCAAAGACTTTCCTATACTTCCTTTCATCCACAACCTTGACCTGAAAGAAAACGAACCTTCTTTTCAGTCTTACATGCTCCTAGATCATCTCCTTTTGAGATTACCAAACAATTTAAAACTGGCAATCAGCAATCATTTAAAATAAACTGTGGTGTGAACAACATCCTCACTTTCTGATTATCTTGCTTCATCTACAACTTTCACCTGAAAGAAAACAGATCCTTGTTTTAGTTTTATGTGCTCTCAACTTCTATGCTTCCAAGAGTCTCTAACAATTTTTAAAAGGTCACTAACGAGGACATACAAGAGAAGGCCCCAAAAACCCCAGAATTATCTTTTTTTGGGAGGGCAGGCCCCTTGTAGTACACTCAGAATTTGTTCCTCTGGATCAAATGACCAACCAAAGTTTTTACCTGGAAGTTTTGAAAAGATTGTGTTATGATTTGTGGAAGAAATGTCCTGAGTTGTGGCAAACAGGTGACTGGTTCTTCCACTATGACAACACATCTGCCCACGCTATGCTGAGTGTTCAGCAGTGTTTGACCAAAAGCAGCATGACCCCCATGCCGCACCCTCCCCATTCACCCTACCTCGACCCTAGTGACTTTTTTATTTCCCTCGATGAAAAAGTCCTCAAAGGGAAATGTGTTGCCAATGTAGAAGAAAGCAAAAAACAGCAGAAGCACTGAAAGACAGCAAAACTGACGAGTTCAAAAACTATTTTGAGCAGTGGAAAAAGCATCTTGATGGGTGTATTGCATCAAACCAAGAGTACTTTGAAGGTGACAAGTTTAAGCAAGTAAGAATAAATACACAATTTTTTATACATAAATTCTGGTTTTTTGGGGGGGTTCCCCCTTGTAAATTGACCTAAGCATTATAGAAGCATACACTTTAAGGTAAAGGTAAGGCTCACTGCCTAACTTCCTGGAAAAGTTAAACCTCTATGTTAAGAAGCTTGGCAATAATAAATATTTGAGAAGACTATTTTCTTATTCCATTGTTATTTGTTAGTGAAGAAAATGTGATGATTGTGGTAAAAATGATTTCTTGCATTGTATAAAATGCCAGTATTAAAACATAACCATTACTGTTTCTAGCAATTATAAAGTAGTAAAACAGCAAAAAATATGATTAAAGCATTTAACTCTATTAGCTGTTATGCACACTGCCAAGAATCATATCACTGCTCCAATTATATAATGGGAAAGATATGTTAGTAGTAAGAGGAACCTATAACCATTTTAGAAAACGACTGACACAAAATGTCCTAGAGTAAAACCATGACAACAAAGAAATCATCCCAACTAATATATAAAAAAATTTCCCAACTGACAAAGTACTTTCAGCTTTCTGATATAGCTGTGTTTAAAAATATTAAAACTTCAAACTGACGCCAAAAATTAACATAATTAACATAGAATTTTAACTTGAGAAATCAGTTTCTTTTTGAGGATAGAAAACTACAAAAATTCATGTCAACAAAGATTGATGTGTGCAGCAAAGGTTCTAAACAGATGTAGAAAGTAGAACACCAAAGCAGAGTCAAACATCTCAGACTAGGGAGGTAGTTCACATATTTGAACCAAAACTCACTTTAGTGTCACCAGGGTCATACTATACTGTTAGGTTAAGATGAATTTTATAATTTTACAAAATTTTGTCACTTTTTATTTCCAAAAGTATTTTACAAGTCTTTTTATTTTCACAACCTGCAAGGCAACCAAAGCAAGGAGTATTTTTCTTATGATAATTGAGAACATCAACATATGAAAGATCAATATTGCCACAGTTAATATCAAAAGGTGACATCCAGACCCCTAGTGTAAGACTCTTTCCAAACTACCAGGTACGTGACCAAATCAACTTTAGCACCTCTTAAAAGTATAGCTGCCTGGGTCTATTAATCACAATCTCCAGTGTTGGGCCCCGTGCATCTATAGTTTTTTTAAAAGCTCTTTAGGCAATTCTTATGTCCACTGCAGTCTGAGAACCAATATAACAGATCACAGTACCAAATGCAAGGGTAGAACCCTATCGCAGCTTAATCTCAGCCAGCCCACAGCAAGTCTTCTGAAATTAATTGGCCACAGCACACTTGGCTCCTTTGCTAACAGTCACTGATGCCAACAGTGTTGAAAATGTAATGTGGTTTTTAAAGCCTCTAATCATAGCATGCCCAAGAGTTCAAAATATGGGGTGGTTACTCAATAAAATCAAGCCTTTTCTCAGTGGATTATCATGATCACAGCACTTAAGGGCACATCAAGTATAATGAGGAGAAAAGAAAACCCAAAGAATTTCACCACCTGATATGTCTATTTTAGACAAGGAAATTTCTGATAAAATTAGGAATTCATGAGCTAGATCTTTATTAACATGGATAGCTCTCAATCATGCTGTTGCATCAAAAAAAAGCAAGTTGCAGACCAACATGTCCATATGAGACTATTAATAATATACACATGCCTATGCACAAAACAATATTTTGTCTATGGGTAAACAGAAAAGCATATGCAAACGGCATTGTCCAATACAATAGTAACTAGCCATATAGGGACATTTAAAGTTAAATTATTTCAAATTAAATACAATTAAATTCTCAGTAGCATTTGCGCTACTTCAAGTGCTCAATAGCTACCTGCAGCTAGTAGCTACTGGACTAGACAATATAGATACAGGACATTACCATCATCACAGAAAGCCCTATTGGACTGTGCTGGTCTAGAAAGAGAAAAACTCATAGGGGAGTGGGGGATTTAAGCAAAGCTAGGAGTAGAAGACAGAACAAGGATTGAAGAACTTCAGTCTTATCTGTAAATTTTGCTCAGATTTCTTTTTTAATTTTAAATAAAAAGCACTTCTGAATTGCTATACAATTTAAAAATCATTAAAAACTATAAAGGTAGACCTTTGCTAAAGATACATAAAAATACACAGGAAGCCTGGAAAATTTTTAGACATCCTACTGGGAGCTCTGGATTAATTTGTATGGAGTATTTAAAATATTCCAAGGTTCTAAAAAGAAATACTAATCAAAAAAAGCCAAGCATAGCTGATTAAACCAAAGAAGTTACTGTTTAAGGAAAGACATCCTCTTAAAATGGATTAAGAAAATTCAAATGAAGAACAAGGAAGTACAAACTAGAAATTAGATGAGCTAAAAGTAGCATCTGACGGTGTATTTAGTCACAAAGTACTTTAGAGCTAAAGAGGCACTGTGAGTAGTGGAAAGAGCATAGGGTTGGAAGTCAAGCAGACTTAGGATTTGAATCTCAGCTCTCCTTCTAGCTGAAGGCTCTTAAAGAAGTTATTTAAACTTGCCGTTCTCCATCTGCTCATCTGTTGTCCCATCCTTATGGAAGTAGTTTCAGGACTGCCTACTTATAACCAAATTAGTGCATACTGGAGTCCCACAGTTGGCCCTCAGGAACCCGAGAATACAAAAAGTTGACCCTCCTATATCAGGTTTCGCATCCCATAAATACAGTATTTTCCATCTGCATTTGATTGAAAAACAATATGCATATAAATAGATCCCTGAAGTTAAAACCTGTGTTGTTCAAGGGTCAACTGTATTTAATTCAAAGCATTTCGGTGAGGAGGAAATGAATGTACGCAAATTGCCTAGCACAGTCCCTGGCACACAGCTACTAGCAGCTATCTGGGAACACTTACAATTATTGATCATTATTATTTTAAAATTTCAAAATGGACAAGAGTAAAGTCATGATTGTCTTGATAACATTTAAAATCTTTAACACCAATAACTGATTTTGTTCTTCTTCTTTTTTTTTTTTTTTTTTTTTT